ATGGAGCATGGAGTGTATAAACCCTGATAACTCTGTTCCTTGCCAGTGCTTCCGATTTGTAGCAACGTAAGGGACCAGCTGTGAGCAGCTAGCACACACTGCACTTGCCAACAGACACACAGCTCTCATCTTAATGGAAATGTTACTTTAAAGTCCCACACCCATAAGCCTTGGGGAGCCAGGCTCTGCCCACCCAAACCCTACACTGTAGCCCCCTGAGCTCCCCAGTGGGGCCCAGCTACCCACGGTGACGAGCAAGCCAGGTGTAAACGGGACGAGAGTGCATCACAACCACATGTGGGAGGAAAGATCTGTGACCCGGGAGCCCTCTGAGGTACAGAAAGTATCTGCTTTAACATCCAGGGGCATGTGGTCACGTGGTGTATTTGCCCCCGGACAGAAAACCCTGGGTGGGCCCAAATGCGTTCTGCAAGCATCTTTCCAGGTGATTTGTGTCAAAAATGAGTATTTCTGAGCTAAGCCTCTAAGTGAGACATATTTTTAGTAGCCTCTCTTTAACGGCACTTTTGAAAATAATCTCCTCCAAGACAGCAGGCAATCGGAACACAGTGTCCGGGGCCGGGTTACAAAGCCGCCTGGGATCTGGAACGTGGCGCTGAGCTGCGGTGGGACCACAGCCAGTTTGGTGCTTGATCGCCAGATAGTCCACAAGTGCCACCAGCTGAACAATTCATCTCTTATTAAATCTCCTATTATCCTGACTTAAACAGCATCAGCCTTCAGATGAGCCCGCTCCCTCTGAAGGTTTTAAAGATACCAAGAAAGTCCCAGGAAGCATTTTTTCCCAAAGCGAACCTTATCACAAAATTGGGATGAGTTTTTTCACCTATCTCCCTCCTGAATTTTTAATTACTTGTCTTTCTCCCCCACCAGCTCAGTCATTTCAACCGTGGCAGGAAGGAGACCCATGGAAACCCCAAGCAGCTTACGGCAAGTCTCTTATCCAGCAGGATCCAGGAAGGCACCTTTCTGGGTCAGCAAATGTGTGGCCAACAGTGTCACCATAGACACTACAGGTGCGTGGTCAGGCTCATACATCATACCTGCATGTGACCGTGTGCCAGCCTCTGAGAGGAGGGAGTGAACACAGTCCCTGTCTCGGGGAAGCTGTCCTCAGCCCACAGGTGAAAGACAGAAAATTCAACACAACATGGTTACACAGAGTGACAGACGCTGAAGCACCGCAAAGGTCTGCGAAGGCGTTTGTTGTGGGAGTGGATTCCACTGAAAGCCCCATCACAGGACCGCGCGCTACACACAAAAAGTCTTGGGCAATGAAGAAATGAAAGGACCCGTGGTTTCTCCAAGACACTGCAATGAGCAGCAGCTATCATCCTGTCAGCGTGATGTAAGCTTATGGCACTCGAGACAATGGGAAGGGAAGAGGCAGGCGCAGAGAAAGATTCAGGCATGAGGGAGAAACAGAGACAGGCTGGGGCCAACAGGCACACAGGAAGGGAGAGGCAGAGCGGAGATAAAGTCAGACGGAGGCAGGCCAAGAAAGGCAAGCAGAGAGAAGCAGAGAGAGAGGTAGGTAGCGAGAGAGGAATAAAGAGAGAGGAGCACACAGAGGCAACAGAAGAAACTAAAAGGCAGATAAAACACAGAGAGAAACAGAGCAAGGAGAAGAGAGCACATGGGAGAAACCCAGAACCACCTGGCCTTTGAGAGGCAACGTGCGAGAGGCCCCAAGTGCCCGGGGTCCAGTGCTGCAAACATGACTGAGACCCAGGCCAGCTGGAGTGTGAGGAGGAGGCCAGTTGGACCCGGACTGAATGTAGCCTGTCACCTCTAGCGGACGGAGGGCAGGCTCACTGTACCCCACAGTCACACAAAGTCACCTCATCTCCTCCACGCCATGCGGATCCCATACCCAGGCAGGCTCATGAGACAAAGCAGGCTTCCGCGACCTCCTTGCCAGCCAGTGCATGGGGAACTGACATGATACGCAATGTGGCCCTACCTTTCCCACATGCACATCTTGGAAAGCATCTTAGGAAAGATGCTCCTTGGGGAAATAATTGTGGGAAATGACACATACAATGTATGTGCTATATCTACCCCTTCCGAGAGCCATGAGGCACTCTGGGGGGAAGTCCTACAGCAGAGAAACCTATTCAACACCCTTCAATCCAACATGTTCAATCTTGTTCCATCAGGGATCTGAATCTTTAAAACCACCCAGAGTGTCGTGTCTAGAGCAAAATAGACACTAAGTTTTCCTTGAAACTGAGAGAGAGAGAGAGAGAGAGAGAGAGAGAGAGAGAGTGTCGTGCCTAGAGCAAAATAGACACTAAGTTTTCCTTGAAATTGAGAGAGAGAGAGAGAGAGAGAGAGAGAGAGAGAGAGAAAGGGAGAAAAGAGTAAGCACCATGGTTTTAAAGCATTCTAGTGCTACCAGGAAGCTGCAGGCCTTGGAGTAGGTAAGTCATGCCTTGAAATCAACCTGCACCTCAGTTTGCTCAGCTGAAAAATAGATCTAATAAATAACAGAGGGTTGTTCTGAGGGGGAGAGGATAAAAATGCATCCAACCCCAAGCACACGGTAAATGGCTAGCAAAGGTGGTTCCCTCCCTACACAAGCATGGGAGGGGAGAGGGGAGAGCAGTGACAGGAGGAACAAACCGAAGGACTGATGCTGAGTCAGGGCAGCGATTACAGAAACCTCAGGTCAGACCACATTGGACCATCTCTTCGCTTAAGTGGAGTGAGCCACTTGAAGGTAGTTGGAACAGAGACCCACCAAAGAAAAAAGGAATCCGCTGCAATTATACAAAGTGAGACCAAGTTTGCTTCCCCCATGAGAACAACCTTTGTTCAGTGAATTGTTTCGTCTTCCACTTTCCCTGTGCTGTAACCTTAATTGACCTCTATGTCTTACAGGTTCTATTACCCTGTCTCCATTTATTATGCAAAATAGGAGCTCTTGTCCCAGAGAATTTTCAGGGCTGTAATCAAATCTTGTTAAAAGGTAAAAACAAAACAAAAAAACCTCCAGCACTCATTCACATCTTATATGGGGCGGGGGGAGGGGGGAGACTCGGAATAATGAGTTCTAAAAATACTTTCAGAGAAAGAAAAGGAAAAAATTTAACCCTAAATCCCAAACTCCTTCTTAAAATAAGTTCTTTAGCTTAAAAGTCTATGAGAAGAAACAATGTCCCTATCTTTAAGAAAGATTATTATTTGGTCCATGCAGTCATTTTCTGCTCTATGAAATAAAGTTCTCACTTAGTAAACATTTAGTGAGCACCCGCACAGTGCTAGGTGCTGGGGTTTAGAGATGAAAGCAGGGTGGGGCTCTGACCGCATCCCACCATGGAGTTGTTTTATTGGCAGCATCTCAACAAGCTGCCCAATGAGGCTGCTGCCACGTGACTCCCCATTGATCGAAGAGGAAACTGAGGTTTCCAAATAAAGAGACACAGTTCTGCCCCTGAGGTGCTCAAACACTGTAGGTCTGGGAGAGAGTCTAATCCAGGGTCTGCATGGGCCAGCCCAAGTGGAAACGAAGGGAGGAGAGGCTGAGACTCCCAGGACAAATGCCTCTCACAATTAAAAGGAAGATAGGCTCCAGATCTGTAATGGAACTTGAAATTTCCTCCTTCCTTTCGCCCCAGCTGTCTGACGGGGGAGATGAGCAGAGTGGGCCTGAGGGCAAGGTGTGCTCTAACCACTTAGCCGCTGGCCAGGGCTGATATTTGAGGGAATAAAGGAATTACTGGTAATGGAGAAATGACAGTGATATCATAATTATACTTTCATATGTGGGTGTGTGTGTGTGTGTGTGTGTGTGTAGAGGGGGAGAGAGAGAGAGACAGAGAGAGATGTCTATAGATGAAATATCCAGTATTTGATTCAAAATACTACAGAAAAGGGAAGTAGGCATGGGTAGCTTCAAAAAGATTGGCCAGGATTAATAATAATTCAACTTATTATTAATGGGTACGTACAATGGATACATAAAATGCGTTATGCCAACCTCCTACCTCTGGGCATTTAACATTTGACATAACAAAAAGTTTCTAGATGAAAAACTATTATAAATGTGTTTGAAAGGACAAAATGCTCTCTGCAGCATGGTGCGTAATAGCTAAGTACTGGCAACAATCTCAATGTCAGTGGACACGAGACTGGATTAAAAATAATGTAGTATTTCATTCAGCAGAGAACTAAAGAGTCAAGAAAGTGAATGAACCCAATCAGGAGCTCTCAACGAGGGTGACTTTGCCCCCCAGAGGACATGTGGCCATGTCTGGAGACATCTTTGGTTGCCATGACAGGGTGGGGTGCTACTGGCCTCTAGTGGGTAGGGATCAGGGATGCAGCTAAACATCCCACAATACACAGGACACCCCTCCCCTCACCCCCTTCAAAAAATTATACAGCCCTAACTATCCAGAGTGGCACAGTTTGAAATCTCTATATTAGGTCTACCACTATATGGTCCTCAGACCATAGTACTGAATTAAAAACAAACAAAAACAAGGGGCAAAGAGATATGTACGAGTAATACCATGTAGATTAAAGTTACACAAAATCAGGACTAGTTATTGCTCATGGGAATTTATCTACGTAGGAAAGTATAAAAATATGGAGGGAAAGGCTACATGCCAGCCTCAGATCATTGACAACGAGGGCAGGGGCATGAAATGCTGCAAAGGGGCTTCAATAGAATTTGTAGCATTTATTTTATTTATTTTATCCTACTTAAAAAAAAGGAAAGCAAGTGTGGTTAAAGGTTAATGTACAGAAAAGCTGGATGTTGGGCACATGAGTGCTCACTCGCTAACAATGAACAGACTAAGCAGCGGGGCTGTGGGCAAATGTTGGGCACATGAGTGCTCACTCTTTAGTCTCTTTCCCTTCACGTTGCTAACAATGAACAGACTAAGCAGCGGGGCTGTGGGCAGGAAGGGCTGGGTGGACAGACAGAGACAGGGCAGAGTGGCGCAGCCGAGGCATCCTGAGTCACTCACCGGCCCCCGGAGGTCGATGAGCTCCTGCCTCATCTGGGACACGAGGGCTTCCTTGGCCACCAGGGCCCGGTGCAGACGTTCGTTGAACTCGATCAGCTCTCCGTGCATCTCCGCCACCTGGAACACACGAGACCAGACAGTGAGGCTCCGAGGGCAGAGGCTCCCCAGGACTCTCCCGCCTCCTCTGGGCCCACACCTGTCAGCAAGGCCTCAGGGGTCGTTGGGCTGGAGAGGTAACACTGGTCACCTAAGGGCTACACAATCCAACCACGCAGAACACATTTATTTACTTGGTTGATTTTAACACTATGGAATCGACAGTCCACAATTTATGGTCAGAACACAGCTGTATCAGGTCACTTTTATAACTTAGGCTTTTATTATTAATGAACACTTTTCTAGCCGAAGTTTTCTTTCTAATCTGAGTTATGTCCCACTAGTGGCACAATTAGAATGACTGACCATTTCTGTTCATCGGGGCCTGAGTTCTGAAAACCATAAAAAAATGTAATGTCAGACATAAGAAGGGATATTAGAAGAAGCTTTTTTAAAAAAGGATTGCTGCCCGACTGGCATGACTCAGTGGTGGAGCGTCGACCTATGAAACAGGAGGTCATGGTTCCATTCCCGGTCATGGCACATGCCAGGTTGCAGGTTCAATCCCCAGCAGAGGGCATGCAAGAGGCAGTTGATCAATGATTCTCTGTCATCATTGATGTTTCTCTCTCTCTCTCCCTCTCCCTTCCTCTCTGAAATCAATAAAAATGTATTTAAAAAAAAGATTGTTAACCCGAGTCTTAATGCCTCAGGAGGGATAAAGGGAGCCCTCCTTTTTTTGGACAGGTTGTTATATATAGGCTAAAAGGCAAAAAAGGACATACATCGGAATATTAACATTCCTCAAGGTGCATTCTTTCTACTCCTCCTTGCTTTTTAGTTTGCTAATAAGGTGCACTCTTTCATTTATCAGCCAGAATTACCCCTTAGACTCTTAGAAAGAATTAAAACTCTTCACATGGAACTGAAGGGAGCCATGGTGAAACCAGTGTGAAAAGTGTGAGGCTCTGGCTGTAATCCTGAGGCTGCCACACTTGCTGTGGGAGCCCCAGTCTAGGAAGGGCACCCTCTCTGCCCCTCAGGCGCCCACTCTCAAATCCCTGTGAAATGCACAGCGCATGTGGCACAAAAGACACTGCCAGACTGTGCGATGAGCAAGGGAGAACGAGCCGCCGAGCCTGCACACAGCCTTCTTCACTGTACAGACCTAAAGTGAATATTCTCCGGCTGCCTTCTTCCTTCTGTATAAAAGCAGCTGAACATGATGTTTGGGCTTTTCACAAATAAATACAGTATCACTAACAATGCCTGTGTGGTTCTCCACGTGGTAACCACAACCCTCTGTGAGCTTCCTCGGGCTGAGCATCCAGTTACCTCCCCGTTAGCAGGAAACATGCGACTGGAGATATTAATGCTGAATACCTGCTACTATCCCCCCACAAATTCAAGCTTTAAATAAACGCCACTCTCACTTCCAATGCAAAGCAGGCTTTTGCTTTGTTTTTATTTTGCTCTTCAGTGGGAGCCAGCGTGTTAAAACAATTTCCCATAAATGCATAAAACATCAAAACATCCCAGCCTCCAGTGGTGTTTATGGTGAGCTGTCAAAACCCTGCTTCTCGTTTGCAGTCAGGAACGTGAGTTGACCACGTCGGGGAGGGCTTTCATTCCCCTAGGGAATGGGATGGAATCCGATGGCACTGCGGACACACTGGATGAAATCATTTCCCGCAGCCATTGCCTGCAGTGCTCATTGTTATTAAGCTCAGCTCTGAGATTCTGAATTTTCATATCATATATCCCTACATAGAGCCATTGATGTAAACAGCTTTCATCTTACAGAACTGTAGTGAACTTAATTGTCCTCAAATAACGCTTTCCAAATTCTAGAATAACTAGAAATGAATTCAAAACTCAGAGTGAGCCTTGGAAGAGGAATCTGAGATCACAAATAGCTCCTATTGTCACAAAAATAAAGGCAGGCTACACCACCACTGCCGGCTGGAATTTCTACAGGTTCTGAGGGCACTTACAGGTGTCATCTGACCTCATTCCTCATTTTCAACAGCTACAGAGAATCGCAGGGAACAGACAGAGGCAATAGGTGCCCTCCAATTCATTCTCTGCCAAGCAGGCAGAGCCATCTTCCCAAACAAGGTCGGACACTGTCACCTGCTGGTGCCAGATCTCGCAGGCCTCTTATGGCCTTAGGACAGCTTCCCACTGTCCTAAGGCCATAAGAGGCCTGCGAGATGCGAGATCCGAGATCCAGCACCAGCCTCGGCCACCTGCCCCCTGCCCCCTCCCTCTGTGTCTCACTGACTTTCACTCAGTCTCCTATCGTCCATAACCATGCTGAGCGGCAGGTCACCCAGGAGACAGAGGAGAAAGGCACACCCAGCGGAGGAAAGGTCGGGTGCCCAGGCTCAGAGGCTGACGGGGGGCAGTTGAGAGAGGTGGTTAAGGACTCAGACTCTGGTGCAAGACAAGCCTGTGCTTGGTCACAGCACCATGTGCCTGGTACCAGTCACTCACCTCCGAGTCTGTGCTATTCACCTATAAAACCATCCCGACTCCCTGGGCCACTGTGTGGCGGAAATGAGCTACTAGCAGGCCCAGCGCCATGTCTGGGCCTGGCGAATGCCCGTGAATGAGAGCTGGTTTGCACGCTGGGTGATCTCAGAAAGGGAAATGGAGGAGGACAGCAGGGCTCCCGGAGCCAGAGGGACAGGGCCATATGTGCTGCACCAAGGAGCTGGGGCAGCTGTGGAGACTCACTGTCCCCAAAGTGAAAATGCCACCAACAGGACTGGGAGCCATATGCCAGGTGTTGCTCTTGGTGCTGGGGAAGAAAGTCAAGGATTCACATCCTGAAAGTCAAATTAGGTAAAGCTCAGGGAGAGAGGGAGACTTGAAAGGAAGACGGGGGTCGGGAAGGCCACCCCCGAGGAAACTTGAGCAGCCACTTCTCCAGTCGGCCTTGGCACATGCCAGGCAGCCTCCCCGGCCGCTCTGCACCCTCACTCACTGCGGGCACTCCCTGTGCTCCGCACCACCGACCATGGGGGCTACCTGGGCGTCTTCCTGAGGAACAGGAACATCTGCTCAGGGCCATTCTGAGAGTCTGCCATATTTCTTCTACTCTCAGCACTTTTATTCCCTTAAAAATTAATCTGAAAGCAGTTAGGAAGAGGTGCCATTTGGCAACACTAATGGCAGTGACAAATCAAAAGCAAATGCCAAGAGGAGGTACACTAATCTCCACTGATGCAGCTTCAAACACCGACCAGTGTGGGCCAAAGGGCTAAGCATGGAGCCCTGATTCTCCGAACGGCCCAAGGAGCCCACCTGGCTGGCAGAAGGCGTGCTCCGGAGTTGTGCTTGGAAAGTGCCCACCCCATAAGTAATACGGTGTAAATGCTTACCACTCACCACTTGGGTTTCATGCTTTAGGTTGGTGAGAAGATGGTAAGAAAAATTTAAGAAGTTTAAGTCACAGGGATGTTTGGCAACATCTATCGAACTTTTAAAATCCCTCATCTGTGACTTGGCCAGTCCCTGCTGGGCAGTTATCCTGCCCCTGTATTTTATACATGTGCTCAGAGCAGGAATTTAGTTCCAAATGCTGGAACCTACCCGAATGCCCAGCCACTGGGGAGGGATGAAATAGATCAGGCTAAGCTCTCCTTGCCCGATGTCTGGCCCAGGCAGACATCACTAGTCGACAGCAGCACTCGTTCCTCAGGAAGACGCCCAGGTAGCCCCCATGTGCTGGCTCACACCACAACACCCATTTGGTGTCCCTGGCATAAGGGATAGAGGGAAAGCGTCACCAAGACGGTGGCATCTGAGTTGGGCTTAGGAAGATGAGGCCTTTGGAGCTTCAGCGACTGAGCAATCATTCCAGCTGGAGCATCAGGGAAGACTATCTCCAAAAATCATGTGGCTGTGAAAAAGCTTTTAAGTCTGTGAAAATCCCCGAATTATCATAATTACCTGCCAAATCATGAAAGGATTATAAATTTTAAAAAGAATGCCTCTGGCATTTCCTTTCATGCAGAATGGTCTATCTAATCGCATCCCAGCAAACCTTGCATGGCCCTCCTTCGCCTCCCTAATTAGACACTTCCAGATTAATTAGATCAAGACACTCCCACTCCCCAATTTTAAGAGCAACCCAAGCTCTTCCTGGTCATGTACCCAACCCTCCCAGAATGTTCACTTAGATGCCTCAAAATCAACCCCCTTTGACAGACGCACAGCTGGTTTAGGCCCATTTACCGGGCTGTGGGAGGGACCTGGAACCTCCTCCTGGGATGACGACACTGCACCTGCCTCGGTGAAGACGAGACCTCACCAGTGCCCATGTGCCTTCACACACAGTGGAGCACCAATCACGTGCCAGGCCTTTTCCAGGCATCACATCCGGCAGCTCATGTGACCCTTGAGACCCTCCAGCAAGGTGGGCCTGCCTTCCTAAGGATGAGGCCAGAGGCTCAGAGTCAGGAAGTGGCAGGACGGGGATGGTCCTGTCTGTGCTCTTCGAACTCCATCTCAGGGTGCGGTAGAAAGGCGGCCCTGCAGGGGTTCAGGAGGAAAGTAGAGCAGTGTGGCCCAGGGTGCCCTGAGCAAGCTGATCATCAGCCGCTTGGAGGGCTTCTGAGAAATGCAGGTTCCCGGCACCACTCCCAGAAACTCTGACCCAGAGGCCCAGTGATGTGATGCTGCATCAGCTTCGGGACCCGCTGGTGAAGACCAAGAGGAGGACTTCACACACTTAGGTCGGAACTGCATGGGGCCATTCCCAGTTTTAGAAGCCAGTTTTTCAGTTCTTCATTTGTAAAACAGGGATGTCACAGAAGCTCTTCTATTGGTCAGTTCTTAACTCCCGAGTTCTCACTGAGCTGAATAAGCCACCAGCCAGAGGGCATTGCGCAGGCCTGCCCGCCAGCAGCATTGATGGCTGAGCCACGTGCGGCCTTCCTCTTCCACAGCCCAGAAGTCAGAGCTCAGAGCTGCCCACAGGGGGCGGGAACTGGGCTGGGATGCACGCTGTTGGC